CGGAGAAAATTTCTTTTCACTAATCATTTCTTTGAGTTTGCTAAAAGGGTTGGCATTTTTTTCATTCGAGATGTATCGCTTTAGTTGGGTTTGTTTGAAATGCGTATATTTTAGAAACAGACTTTATATGGCCTGAATCACCGTTGTGGTTGGCAAGTAATGGGTGATTTGATGAATGTGCAGCGGCACGTCTTAGTTCAAAGGAAAAATTGCATGGTTTAGTATTTGCCGTAGTAATTGCAAATTGTTAGCTTCCATTTGTCAAGTTCCATTTCAACGAGAAGCTTCTGAAACTGGCGCGCTCTCGCTCTTTTCGTAGACTGATATAAGACTTTCAATTCTTATTTAAAACATATTTTTTTCATTGCACGTAATTTTTGAAATAGTTTTAATAATTTTTAATACTATCTCAAATCTTAGATTATCCTATAGTTGAACTATACTTGCCCAAAGAAAACTTTTACATATCTGCAGATTTCTTTGTTTATGTTCTTCGTTAACGAAGTCGTGGGTATGAACTAGTTATCTTATAAAATTGAATTGAAAATTCAAGATAATGTTTACATGTCTCTTATATAATTATCAATATTAGTTAATAGTATTTGCTAACTGTTAGTAGTGGCCTGATCAAAATAAAATTTATGAATTAAATCCAGTAACAAACCGAAGCGCATTTGCGCTGGTATGTTTGGAAATTTCTCTTTTGCAACATAATATATAAAAAAACGCCGTATTTACTGTCGACTTTTGGGTTACCAGATTCAATATTATTTTACTTTTATGGTTTTTAAAATGTTGTTGCACAAATTCCCACCTTAAATATAATATAAAACACTTTTATATGTGTGTAGTACATGAAATACTCAATTAAATTCTTTTTTGAATGGATTTTTAAAATAATTTATGTTAGTTAAGATAAAAAAATAAAATTTAATCGTGGGTAAAATATTTTGACGATCGATTTCTCGTTTTTTTAGCTATAAAGTATTTATCTACATTATTTAACGCAAGATATTGAATAAAAGAAATTTTAAAAAGAAATTACAGTATAAAAATAAAGAGTATTGTAATGGACACCTGCCTCTTACCTAGTCTATTATATGGCTGCCAGACTTGGACATATACAAACAAAGTGAGACAGAAAATATATACAACACAGAGAGCAATGGAAAGGAGCATCTTAAATATAAATAAAATACATAAAGTCAAAAACAATATAATAAGACAAAAAACAAAAATAACAGATGCACTCACGCACGCTTTAAGGTTAAAGTGGAAATGGACATGACACATATCACAATACCAAGATAATAGATGGACAATACAAACCACACAATGGAAGGGACCAGTATCTGGCAAAAGGAAAGTTGGTAAACCACATAAACGGTGGGCCGATGACATAATACAGTATGCAGGAAAAGATTGGATGAGCAAAAGTATAAATAGAGAAATGTGGAATCAGATGGAGGAGGCCTTTACTCAAAATGGGATCCATATCTCTGAAAATATACACAGTTAACCGTACAAACAATAACTAATATGAAATAAGCTAATAATACTAACAACAAGTACTAATCAACATGGAAATGTAAAATGTAGGGATAAGGAATAAAGAGGCTTTTTTTATTATTTAACTGTTAGTAGTGGCCTGATCAAAATAAAATTTATGAATTAAATCCAGTAACAAACCGAAGCGCATTTGCGCTGGTATGTTTGGAAATTTCTCTTTTGCAACATAATATATAAAAAACGCCGTATTTACTGTCGACTTTTGGGTTACCAGATTCAATATTATTTTACTTTTACGGTTTTTAAAATGTTGTTGCACAAATTCCCACCATAAATATAATATAAAACACTTTTATATATGTGTAGTACATGAAATACTCAATTAAATTCTTTTTTGAAGGGATTTTTAAAATAATTTATGTTAAAAAAATAAAATTTAATCGTGGGTAAAATATTTTGACGATCGATTTCTCGTTTTTTTTAGCTATAAAATATTTTTCTACATTATTTAACGCAAGATATTGAATTAATTTCTTTATCGGCTACATTTCTATTGAGATCTTTATTTCATAATTTAATAAGAAAAAAGTTTACTCTTAAGTAACTTTTTGTCCACGGAATTTTGAACGTTTGCTTCATGCTGGACAAATATATATGCAGCGGAGAAAGGGGCGTTTAAAAACTTTTAAAATAGGAAATTCTCGTCTTAAAAAATATATAATATATAATTTCCTACGGTATTTTATTCGTACAAAAGATTTTATGTCAAGACTCCTCCTTGTTTGGCTTGGAGTATTGTTTTATAGACTTGTACCGACAGCAAAACAATTTAAAATAGAATATATTAAATATACCATATCCCAAGCTTGCATAGGAAGTAAATTTTCTTTTTTACATAACAACCTTTCGGCCACTTTTTATTAATAACAATGTCCTTCAGACCGAGCTTCGGTCACGGCGGCCAGTCTCAACGGAGTATAGCGATCTGCACAGGACGGATTTATAGTGCACGAGTATATGCTCAAGCGCAGTTGCACTCTGTATTCCCTCAACTCTCAAGGCTGATAGGATGGTATTCCGATAGGACCTGAGAGAGATCAGGTGCCGGACCTACGGCTTTACGTGTTTTCCGAGGCAAGGGGAAGAAACACCGCATACCTCGTGACTCCCGGCTGCTTCTGAGAATTGCTTGACAGAAAAATCCAATAAAAGATTTTGGCCTGACCTGAAATTCAAAACCTAGGACCTAATCACAAATATGAACCACGTTTACGTCCACTTTTTTTCGTGGGGAAATGTCTACGCACACCCACCTCGCGGGGATAAGGATAGGTAATGTAGAACTCGCACCTTCGCCACGTATTGGCAGGGCCACGGGAATACTTTCGCACACACCTGCGGCTCCACCAGCGCTGTTCACCCCATGGTGCCCCACCTCGAAAGAGGACTAGGTACTCCTTCCTCCCTCCACGGTCTCAAAATTCACTTCTGCAACAGACACCCTTCTATCTGATATGCGACGGCCATGGGGTCAGGAAAAACGGAGCACTCAAAGGCAATAGCGTTCCTGAAACAGCGGCAGATTTGGTCTATGGCTCCACCACCAACCAAGATTCAGCTGGGCAGGGTACAGAAAGCGGCGCCTCACAATACCATAACTCCCTTCTCCCCGCAGGCCCACCACCACTAGACCAATGGTGCGGCTCCGTCAGAGTCGAGAAGGGTAGGGTGAGTGGCGGCTCGTCCAACGCTTCTCTTCCTCTACGACTCCATCGCGGCTACGACAGTAAGGGAGATGAAACCCCTCCCACTGAATTAAAATACAAAAACTTTTTATAGCATACAGACAAAATTATTTAAGTATTTTGTCGCAAAAGCCTTAAAATTAAATAAAATTAATATTCATTTACTTTGCCTGATCTAAACCCGCTTTTATTTAGTATTCTGTTTGATACATAAATTATCTGTTAGTACGCCACTCCAATGGACGCCAATGGATACAATTATTAAAATAAAACAAAGGCACTTAGGATCAAGCCTAAGTAAGCGCATATTAGTTAACATAGAGTTAATTAAAACACCTCTTCATCTGTCTAGACCTGGCCCTCTCCCATAGCACAGACGATTTAATTCGATTGCAGCGCTGGGCGTTGGGCTGGGCTGGGCGTCAGATTGGTTTAGTCACGACAAAACCAAAAAAAGGAGATAAGGATTAAAGATAGTGAGAAAGAAACCCTTATCCTTACCCTTATTTATATTCCCTGCATCAGTATCAGGAATGGTGTTTATATAATTTGTATCGCTTTTGGTGAAAATGTGTATGAAAATGTGTGTGTGTCGTTATTTTCATTGATAAACTTCTTGTCAGTCAGTACTGGCCCAAAGATAATGACTATCTTTTATTTAGTAAGTGAGTTAATTCTAGTGCCCTTCGGTAGTGTTTACTCTTAGTTCTAAACTAAATAGTAATATATTATGTACAAACCTCTTATGATTAAATTCATTTTTTTAAAACAAGTCAAGCGTGTGTCTATTTCGAAAACACAAAAATGTAAGTATAGTAATTATGCATTATTTGTTATATTTTAGCTTTTAGTAACTTTAACAACGATCTAAATTTAATTGCATCGAAACATGCGAGTAAATGTGAATATATGTACAACTCAAGCAATAAGAATTAAATGTTGACAAAGTTATTGGTGAGGCGTAGTTTCAAGTCAATGCCTGACACGATGTTTTCAGATTTTTTTTAAACGCCTAACATTCTACCTCGTTGCCAAACTTCAAGTTTAGCAAGTCACTTAGACATAATCTAGGTTTTTGACGTGTGAGTCAGCGAATCAGGAAAAGCTAAAAAGATCTTAATAACTCAATAACTATGATACTTTTATTCACGAAATTTAGGATTCTAGATATGTAAAAGGTCTTCATTAGACATTCGAAATTACAAAGTCTAAGTCTAAGAAATGTAGGTCTTCTCACGACATTTTCCTACACCGTCAAACATGTAGTCAATCAGCACTTATAATTGCAATTAAAAATTTCATTGGTGCGGTGGGGATCGAACCCGAGTTGCTTGTGTACTGTGAAATTTACAGCGAGCCCTAAGCTTCTGAGCTACCACAGCTCTCAAAGAATAAACATAAATTCTATTTTGTATCCAGATAAAATAAATAAATCACATATTATTATTCACATTTTGCTTTTTGATGTTTGCCGTGTGAACCTGTGGTATCGTCATAATTCCACTGTATGCTATCACATTCAAAAACACAAAAAATATATTAATTGTGTAAAAAAAATTAGCCAATCGTTTATTACGAACAATCGATACGTTAAAACAGACAACTTTAAAATACTTATCGATACATATGTTAAGTACTTTACATATTATCGGGCGTGAAAGTGATAAATTATTTTACATTTTAATTGTTTAATTTTTTGTTAACGCTGTTACATAATTCTTCATTATTAACTACATTTTGCTAAAGATGGCGGATGTCATTGTAGAAACAGTATTCTCTAGAGACGACGAAAAATTCAGTAAAGACAAGAAATGGAAACTATTTTTGAAACAGGTTTGTGTATTTTTTTATTTGTATTTCTTATAAAATAAGGATAAAAACGAGTACAAAGAGCATTTGATAATTTAAAATATTATCAGCGTAATATGCAGCGGAAGGTACTGCAGCCCATCTCTAGTTTTATTACCTTCTGTCGTCAGAGGACGATATGATAATGGTTAGTGGATTGCCTACGCCGCCACTATACAGTTATACAGTTTTCCATTTACTCTTAGTTTTTATCCTACATACATAGTAAAATATTTACTAAAGCATTTTAGTAAACATTTGACTCAGCTCTTAATGCTAGTTTACATCTGGCATCAACATTATAGTGATGGATTCTGTAACGCCACCACCACTCGGCAAATATTCTCAACATTCAACTGCGTAATTACAAATGCTACTGATTTCTGATTTAATAGCCATGTTATCGGCAGTCACAAGAGCATCAAAGTAAAGTCTTTGTTAAAGTAACTTTTTGTTAAATTTTTATGAAAAAAAATTTCGTAAAATGTTTTCGAGCGTAATGAATTTCGTTAAATTGCCAAAATAAAGCTTCCGATATTATTTATTTCCTAAATTTTCTCATACTAAACTCAGCTAATAATTTTAACTTAGAGTTCCTCTTTGAAAGTAGCATTATTGATAATACCAAATCAAATTTAATGTTGCAGTAATTAGAAGTAATAAGCATGATAGCTCTCGTTTGATCTATTCAAACAGTAATTAGTTTTACTTTTCAGCTACTAGTTATCAGCGCAGTATGGACATCATATTTCATGTATGGACTTTGTCTAGGATCTCCAACAGTATTTATTCCACAAATAAGAAAATCGAATTCGAATGACACAATCAGCGATGAAATGGCATCATGGCTTTGTAAGTAATTAAAAGGAACATTATTTAATAAATTTCAATATCGTGTTTTAGTGATATCAAGATATTTTATTTTTTCAGCGTCTATTCATATCTTCAGTGGACTGCCAGCAATAATTTTACTATCCTTCCTTGCTCAACTTATAGGTAGAAAGAAAACTTATTTAATCGTATGTCTTGCTACTTTAACTGGGTTCTTCGTATTTTACTTTAGTATATCAGTTACTGAAATACTAATTAGTGAAATTGTACAAGGTTTTTTATTCGCATGTCAAATATCAGTATCGATTATCATCACCGCGGAATACAGTTCGCCAGTTTACCGAGGATTATTCTTGTCTATAAAAGTAGCATCATTTTTTTGGGGAATTTGGATTGCAAACGCAATCGGAACATTTTTTAACTGGAGAAAAATTGGTATTCTAGGAATACTTTGTTCTATATATACTTTAATAAGTGTAATATTCTGGCCTGAGTCACCATATTGGTTAGCTAGTAAAAAACGTTTCAATGAGTGTGCAGCATCACATAGATGGTTGAAAGGCTCCGGAGAAGAAGCAGAAGAAGAACTTAAAGGCATGATTGAAAGTGAAAGGTACCTTTTAAAAAAGAAACGACTAAGGAACAATAAAAGATATACTGTGACTGAACTTTTTGATATAATTTGTTCAAGAGAATTCTTCAAGCCAGTTTTACTACCTATGTTAATGTTAGCACTATATAATCTATCTGGTAAAGTTGTTTGTAGTATTTATGTTATTGATATTCTAAAAAAGATAACACAAAGCGAGTCTACTGCGTATGTGGGAATGTTATCCTTAGACGGAGTCACAGTGTTAAGTATGTATATTGGAGGTTTGATTTCGAAATTTGTAAAAAGACGTACACTTCTATTTACAAGTACTTCAATTGCTATTGTTTTTTTATTTACAATATCTTTTTACTTGTATTTAATAAATATAGAAGTCATTGTAGAAAACAAGTACTTTTCAATTTTGTTGCTCTCATTGTTCTCCATATCAATAAGCTGTGGTCCAATGAACATGTGTACCTCAATTTTCGGAGAGCTCATTTCGTTAGAATACAGATCTTCTACTTTGGCCATCATCGGTGTATTTGGTCACACAATGATGGCGGTATTGGTTAAAATAGCTCCTCTTATTTTCAAAACATTTAAATTGCATGGTGCTTTTCTTTTCTATGGTTTATCAACATCTATTTGCACAATACTTCTATATAAATACCTGCCTGAAACTAAGGATAAAACTTTGCAGCAAATACAGGATTCTCTAAAAAGTCATCAAAAGGAAGAAAAAGAAGCCACAGAATTGATGTGATTAAATTTTGGAAGTTTATGTTATTATTTTGAGGCCTTTATAGTTAATTTCGTATAAGTAGAATAATTATATTAAATACATATGTTTATTACATGTTAATGTGTTTTATTCAAACCCCACTTACACAAATATATACTTAGAAAATGCAATTTTTTCTTTATGTTGCAAGATTTGCAAAATATTAAATAAAAATTTACTTTAATTTACACATATTTGATTATTAATAATTTACATATTATATTTAAATAAATTTTTATCATGCATATATAAAGCTTCACGCCCGTAATCCCTGAGTGGATAAGCAGAGCCTGAAAAGCATCGAACTACTCAGACCACATATAGCACTTACAAATGGTCTGTGTACCAGTTCGTCAACATCACTTGTAAAAAAATATAATTTTAGTTTACTTACCTTGGATGAACTTCCACTTGTAACACTTCCTCCCCGACTTTTAAGTTCTCTGGTATCCTGACGAACTTCAAGTATTCCCCCACGGGATAGAAGTTGCAACCTGGAAAGGATAGAATATTGTCATTTGTTATCGTTGCTAAAACAGAACTCAAAATAATGAGGGCTGGTAATTGTACACTCATGAGATGTCGCCAGTCAAATGAATGATTTTTATTTAATATAAATTATTGTATAATACTTATTGAAAGTAATTTTGTTCTGTCCAGGGAAGAACCAGCAAGAAACCCAGCGGGACTTTTAAAACATATTTCAATTTACAATAAATTTATTTTGTACAATTTTTGTACGAATTTTTATAGAACTAGCATGGTGGCGATCACCTCATTACCAGGGGTTATTTTCATTTATGTATCCATTTATATTATAATGACCCTTTTTGAAGAATTTTTCTTCAATTAAATATTTGAATTTGTTTAATGACAAATTTTGTACATTTTCTGGGATTTTGTTGTAAAAGCGTATACATTGCCCCATAAATGAATTACAAATTTTGTGGAGTCTAGTAACTCGTATTACAAGCTTATGTTTGTTCCTAGTGTTTAAGGTATGAATATCTTTATTGTTATGAAAGCTATTTATGTTATTATGTAACATTACATTTTCATAAATAAATTGCGATGCCAAAGTCAATATGTTTATTTCCTTAAATTTTTCTCTAAGTGACTACAATTTAAGTTATAAATCGCTTTGCAAAACAAATATGGTTTCACTATCAGTCGCATTACCACACAGTAAGATTCCATAAGACATTACGCTATGAAAGTAACTAAAATAAACTAATCTAGCTGTCTTAACATTCGTTAGAATTCTAATCTTTCTTACTGCATATGCTGCAGAACTAAGTCTGCCTGCTTTAGATATATGGGGGCCCTATTGAAGCTTAGTGTCAATAGTAATACCAAGAAAACCAGTGGTATCCACAGGACTAAACTCCTCACAATTGAAGAGCACATTGGTATTGGAATGTTCAACATTAGGTATTGTAAATTTAATACATTTTGTCTTATTGCCATTTATGAGCAAATTATTAGCGTTAAACCAGTGTACAAGTTTCGATAGAGCATTATTTACTTTGTCAAAATTAATTAACAGTTGGGTGAGTGAGATAAATTTGTCATACAATGTATAATTGATAATTGAGAAATAAATATACTCTAATTTACACAAAACAATGTCTCAGTAGTTTGTTCTTTAATTTTTTGCTCATATTTATTCTTTTTTTTCTACTTTTAAGAATATTCATTGTTTGGTTTATCCATTTCTAATCTAATTAATATAAAATATTACTAATATTTTAGAAAGAAAAAACATTAACCTTTACATCACCCCCCTAAAATATTTCACCTCGTTTTTAAGTTGCTAGGGTAGCCCTAGTGCCAGAAACAGTCGTGGATGCCCTCATTGCTCTACAGAAGAGAGGTCAGCTACTAAGTGAAACTAAAATTAGCATAAGGCAACCTTTCATGTATTATTTTTTAATTCCTTGACCTTTTTCTGTACAATCGAGTCAATGCAATTTTGTAAATGTATTCAAAGTGGCCGATTGTGCATACGTCACACAATTATAAAGAACATGGTTAAAAAACTCGTCATACGATGATACGGAAAAGTAATTCCAATTAAAAATAAAATTAACGGTAATTAATGAGTAAGTTATTCATGTTTATAAGATAATATTCTGTAGTATATCCTTTAAAACATTCCCGAAATAAATAATTATTCTAGTTCAGGTACATTATTGTAGACTTAGATAAATGCTATTTTTTTAAACCGAAGTAACAAACATAGTCAACCTGATGGTAAGTGGCTACTGCAGTTCACAGACTGCTGCAGCAAACTTCAAATAAGCCTACAAATGAATTATCAACTGGCGACTTAAATGGAATGCTTTACCCTCACAGTTTGTGATTATACTGGTTCTTTATATCTTTCAGACCAGAGCACAGCAGTGCGGGCACAGCTATTCAGGAAGAGGTAAGAGGGTTTTTTAAAATAAAATAAGGGCGACAAACGAACACACAGTCCACCTGATGGTAAGTGAATGCTGTGCTCCTTAGACATCTACATTTATCATCAATTAAGAATCAAAACGCAGATGCATTATCACCTCTGAGGACTAAAATAGAAGGCCTCGTTTCCATTAAAGTGCCTCTGGATTTCTACACTCACCATACGAAACAGCAGCATAAAACTGCTGTTTTACGCTGGTATTCTGTGAAAGCGTGGTCCTTCCCCGGTTGAGCCGACTCATTCGTGCTACAACCATAATATAGTCAACAATATAGCTGCAGCGTAGCTCTACCACGTATAAAGTGGTGTTTTACAATATCGACTTCAATGCAGAAAAGGAGTATCTACTAATTTGTTTAAGTTCATTATACAGTTTATAGAATTAAAAAATAATAAATTCATTTTAAAAATATATAAAGTATCTATCAAATCAAATCAGAAGACATGAATATACTGCAATCGGTATCGGTATATGAAGTTGAGGCGGGCAATTCATGGCGCAGCACTATTTGTCTCCTACACATGCACATCACACGCACACTCCATCGCCACTCTAGTTTATATTACATCTATGGGCGTAGAATACATCGGTTGTGCGGACCAAAGATTGCACAGACTTACCTTCTTTAAGATCTAAATCTAAAAGGAATACCGTTGGGACTTTATTTCGTTTGGTGTTAGATATCAAGTTTTCAGTATAACTGAAATATCTTACTGAGTACTATTTGAAATTAAAACAACATGTCTTTTACAATGCGACACCAAAAACTAAATACCATCATGTATACAGCGAAAACAATGCAAGCAATACTCCCATACTAATGAGTCCAGTCCTATGCCTCAATAGGGTCAAATTATTCATTGTTTCAAAATCGCCAATTGTCTCTGAGTCAGACTGTTTTAAAAGTGTATGCTATTCTCTTGTCAGATAAGGGAGCGAAAAAATGTGTTGTGATGGATTGATTATACCTACCGAAGATATTTTCTCATCTTAGTATGAGAAAATATCTTCGGTAGAAACTGTGCTTATTTCGCCCCACCATAAATTTTAGGTGTTCCCTTCCTTCCCAGGAGTCCATCTGTTCCACCCTCTTACCAACGTCTACCACTAAACAATAAAGTTTAGTGGTAGACGTTGTCAAAGTTACTGCATTGATACGTTGCAGTCTAAAGGCTATAGAAGTGTAGTTACAGGAGTAAGGCATATTTAGTTCTCAAAATATGATAGAGCAGCTGCAGCCATTTTTGTATATATTTGTCGAGCTCTGTTTATTTCAGTTTCAAGGATGAAAAGAGCCAAATTTTTTCCGGGATGTGAGGCATTTCATCTCAGTCTTCAAAGATGACAATGCATAGCCTTCTTCGTTTGAAGTCGGTGGCAGATTTTCCTGAACTGGAGTTAATTGGACTAAAAGGATAGTTGGACTAAAAGCATTGGACGCACGCACGCACGCTCGCACGCACCCACGCACGCACCTAACCCGCACATATTACATAGCATATATCATTCCCACAATTTAGATGAATTTATCGCTACCTTACATGTTGAACTCCATCAAGCCGTTTAGACTACAAAGAAAAAGACATACATACATACATAATATTATATCTATATACTATATTATATAAATTGTACTAAGTATATACTTTACTAACTGTAACTGTATATTATATATAAACTGTTGCGTCGCCGACAAACTGCCTTACAGTTTGGCAAATAATGTACACTCTTTCTAAGAATAAATTAAAAAAAAAACATTACCCTCCTTCTTGGGCAGTCGGTAAAAATCACTCTAAATTGCTGTAAAAAATTGTCATCATTATAAAAAAATGGCAACCACATAATTGAAGTAAAGCGATGCCGGATTTACTTTCAATTTGAATAATCGTCAACAACTTACAACATCGCCGTAATTTGATTTGTCGTGGATGCCAGCTTGAAATGAAGTATAATCGAGTTAGTTATTCACGACTGTAACGGATTTTCTTTAATTATTCAACAAATTAAGAAAATACTATGCACAAAATGTTCTTTTATTAATAATGACATCCATCAGTATTGATATTTCGAATTTATGATATAATTTCGTTTCATTTTAAGTCATTATTCAATATTCTATATATTCGTCAAGTGTAAATCTCTATTTTACGAACTTTGTCCAGTGTTTTGCACGCCTGTGAGTACTAAATATGAGCATTCAACAACAGCACGTTTATGTCTAATTTGCCATATTTAATACACGAATGTTTTGATTTGAAATATTTTTAACATTGCAATGACAAGCGTTAGTAAAGAAAGAGTGACCGCTGCCCGATATAGATACTTATTTCTTTATTTTTAAGGTATAATAAAAGTATGTACTTCTAGAAATATTATTATACATGTCATGAAATGAAAATATGGTTTCTCTTGCGGGTCTATATACAAAAGCATTCTACACAGTTTCGGCTCTGTTCATGCGTTTAGCTTAAGTGGATATAGTAACTCAGCTCAAATTCTAATTTCGCCCTCACTTCCCCGCGCGTCGTATGCTATGTACCGACATGTTTGTAATCACTAATACTGTAAGTAGATAGGTCGTTAGATACTCATTTCGTTAGGTTTATCATATTTATGTCTCTTTCTTTAAACCAACCCAGTCGCTTCTCATTTTTATTATTTTATTATTTTAATTTTACGTCGTCCTGTTGCGTAATGTGTATTCTGATCGTAAATGACACAGCTTCCACCTTCAAAGGCCGAAGCGAGACTGACCGGGCGGCAGGAAACAAGCTTCAAGATGCCGATAGTTTAGGTAAATTCTTTTTACAGTGAAAATAATGGTAATTAAAAAAAATAAAAAACATAAGCCCTGCTTTATAGTTATTTCAGTTAGTATGGAAAGTTTTTATGAATAACAGCGGTTTATTGTTAAGTTTGGAGGTAACTTTTGATTTTTTTTCTATCGAGAAAATTTTAAGGAATTGTGTTTTCGTCTAACATAGTACTTAACATTAATCCTCAACTTCACCATATATTTATTTCAAAATTAATGCTGCAATATTTTCGGTATAACGGAGGATCTTGCTAAGCCATTTGTGGTAGCATTTTTAATATTTCCCCTTAAGTGGCAACCCACTTATGGTTAAAGTCACTTTTTTTAAATATCTACGTTTAAATCGAACACTGCTATATTCGTATATACACTATTTTGTTAAGATGTGAAGGCTATAGAACCTAGCTTACGGATTACTTTCCACTTTAGTATTCAGAGATGACAACGCATCTGAGCCTTCTTTCTCTTTTCTTTTTAAGTTATTCCTTCATTTGTTAAGTTTCCAATGTCAAATAAATCTTTTAATCTTCTGTTTGTTTGGCTGCAAGTGCTCATGGACTGCAGTATTCGCTTACCATTATGTGGACTGTAAGTTTGTTTGTTACATCAGGTTTAAACAAAAAAGAAACACAAAATGACACTGTGGCAGCGCTGTCGTCGCGCCACAAGCGAAACTCATCGAAGCCTAAATCACGCTATCAAAGTTTCGAAGTAGAAACGGTATATTTAAAATAGCTCCGAACTATCACGTATAGTGTTGGCCGCTCCCCGGGCAGAACACCTTGCCCGGCGGGAGATCTCCCCTTTTCCTTTAACGGCCACAGCACAAATTTATAATCTAAAGAACTAAATATTTTCACTTCACTTCAAAATACCATTACAATGTCAGTGTCTTCTGGCAAGAGTAATTAGGCTTTTGTTAAGTTAAGTCAGTGCACTTCACTAACTTCGGCTGCATCACCACTTGCCATTCAGTAGGATTGTAGACAGGCACTAGCTTAGAATGGTTAAAAAACTCAATTGGGAGAATATTTTTTCATCAAAGTCCTGTCATTTATCACGTATGTGGAGAAAAAATACGTGTTTTAGCTCGACCGGGGAAGGACCACATCTCACAGAATACCAGCGTAATATAGCAGCTTAATGCTACTTTGTTTCGTATGGTGAGTGTGGAGAACTAGAAAACCTTTTTACTGGAATTAAGACATTCCATGTTAGTCCTCAGGAGTGCGAGCGTGATTCTTAACCGAGGATAAATGTCTATGGACCACAGTATCTATTTACCATCAGTTGGACTGTATGCTCGTTTGTCACCATTATATATATTAGAATGGAACAAAACCGAACATACAGTTATTGAATAAGAATTTTTACAGCTATTCCATTTGAACTACTAAAGGAATAGAAGCCAGTTATGTAATAAATTATGTCATGGTACTCTATTTTAGATGATATCGATTAAAGAATTCGGCTGATTAACGATGAAATTTGACTTCTTCCATCGATTTCGTAATCCATTTCAGTTTTACGAAAAGAAAAAGTTGTTCTAACTTCACAACGTTTAATAGATGTCGACGATTATAATATATAACAAGTTTTTATTAAATTTTATACTAAGTAAAATATATATTTTAAAATAATATCAAATGTAGGCAATATTTTTGTAACTTTTGTTGCAGTTCATGTTGTTTTCAATTTCTTGGCAAGGACATTTTATAATGTTTTTAACAGTTTCACTTACATGAACTCAATCACTTAAAAAGTATTTCGAAGACAGCAGAGTGTTCGGTCCATTCGTGCTACATTTATAATATCATCCACATGGATCTACCATGTGGATGATATTTGCTGATGGATTGAGTACACTTATAAGTAAATTAAGAAATATTGTAATTGACATTTTATAAATTTTTATTCTTGACATTGATTATTATAACTACTATTCTAATGATGTATACTATTTTGTTTGACTATTTTGGTCTTTTTTGTTTAATTAATTTGACTATTTTCGTTTTATTAATTTGATTATTTTCGTTTTATATTTTTTTTATTTTATTTGTTCTGCAATTATTTCAACTTATTTTTTTATTTTAATTTTAATTTAATGTGATTTATTTGGTAAAATTAATTATAACTTAAAATAGACAATTTTAACTTAATGTATCTAATGTTGCAAGTGTGTTGGATGCTATCATCTGTTAGCTTGTAGGCATGAATCTTATAAATAAATAAATAAATGTGGATGATATTATTTTTAAAATTTTTGCTTAATTTATTTTTATAAATTAAACAATATATAATTAAACTTATTAAAATCCTCTCGGAAAAGGACATTATTAACAGAGCTATAACACATAACATATTGTTGCATACTTTCGTTAATCGTTTTTTTATGTTTGATTTATATTTGATTTGTTTATTGCTGTTGTTGTTTATTTTTCAGTTTAATAATTTCTAAATATTGTGAAATTGCAGCAGGTAAATATAAGGTGAGGTTATATTTTCTTTTTCTTTTTTTTTTTGTAATTAATTGTGTTTTTGTAGGTGATGGTGCATAATGATATATAGTTTTAAGAGCGTGTACTCGCCGACAAACTGATTGCAGTTTGGCGAGAGAATAGTAAAAACAATGTACTTTTACCTTTGTATGAATAAATAAATTAAAAAAAAACTTATAAAATGTTCAAATGGATGTAATGATGACGAATGGTGATCTGTAAATCACTTGTAGCAATTGACGACAAAAAAGTCAACAATGTCGAAAAATCGAGTACAATAATAGTTAATAACTACAAATCGAAACACCATCTCTTCTCATAATTTTGCGCTCAAGCAATTTCGTTACGAAATGCCAATCGAGCATCGGATGAGAAAATTTGCTACAGTCAGTGCCTTCCGACACACCGTGACGACACTCAGTACAACCGGTAGTGCAAATTGAATCAATAGGAAAATTTAAGGTCCATTGGTTTGATTGATTCAGTTGAGTAGCTTAACTTTGGAGAATCTTCACGCTTACTTTACTAAACAACTAAAGATAACTGTTTTTTATTTTATTGAAGAACGAGAAAACGAGCATACTGCTCACCCGATGACTGTGTTGACCACCGCCCACAAACAACTGCAACATCACGGGAACCGGTTGATGCGTTGCAGGCATTTTAAAAAGGAATAAGCACGTTTCTTGAAAGTCTTTAAATCGTAACGGTCCAAAAAATCGGCAGTAGTAAACGATTACACAAAAAATAAGGCAAATTTAATGAATAAGAAAATTTAAGGCCCATAAGAATGACATAGTTGAGATGCTCAACTATATCAACTATAATCACGCCTACTTTACTGAACAACTCAAGAAAACTGTTTTAAATGATTCTGTCACATCAGCAGTTTTTTGAGTCCAATACTGAACATGGGTATGTTATAGATTACTTAGAAGATTTGGTTAAAATTTACTATCAACAGCAGTTTTTCCGGAAACCAAAAAGAACGTACTCCTTTTATAAAGGCCGGCGACACACCTGTAATTCCTTTATTGCTGTTCATGGTGGTATGCACTTTATCTCTTCTATAACAAAATGATTTATTTACTACATACGCTAAGCAGAAGGCTGTTGACCAAGCTATATCTATAGCTTTTTTAATAAAAATAAAAGTAAAAAACAATAAATCAACGGTCCTGATAGTAAGTACCAAAGTGGTTGTGGTAATTTATAGAAAATTAAATGCAGCGTTGTCATTCCAGAAGACTAAAATTGAATTAAACAGTTAAAAGGGTCTACGGTTCTCTACACTCACTCACGAAATACCTCAGCATTGTCCTGGTATTTTACAGATGTATTCTATGATATCATTTTCCTTCCCGGTTGGGCCATTCGTGCTGCAGCCACATTACAGTGACCTTGCTAAGTATAAAATGTGTTGACGGCAAAGGGGTAAAGACCTCAGGATCTGGTTATTTGATAGTAGAAAGGAGAGGGGGGAATAATTCATGTTATTCCTGGACACACTCAGTTTGTTAAACTAATATTTCTATGAAACTTCTTCTTCGTCTTATTATTGGCCCCTAAAAAACTACTGCTAGACATGGACC